CAGTCTGCCCAGACAGTATGTCTCGTCACCTTCTCTGTAAGATTTGAAATGTTCCTCTTAATAATAAAACGATGAATGGCGAATGACTTGCTGTTTGGTGCCGTCGATGTTGGCGCTTTTATGCTTTTTTTATTTTTTTCCTGCCTTTGTTGGGTTGTGAATTGCCAAATCTTTATACTGGGAAGAAAGGGTCGTGTTTTATTTGGTTAATTTGTGTTTTATTTACTCTTTTAGGAACTTGCCGACCAGAATTTACCAATCAGTTCTTGCTTAAGACATACTTCACAGGCAAATCCATTTTTTAGAAAAACACAACCCACCTTTCGATTTCACTTCCATTGGACAGGGAAAAGAACTTATGATCACCATAATACTTCAAGACGATTGATCCGTTTCTCTAAAAGTTGCATCTTGTAAATGGATCTATCTTTTGAAATTGTTCCTCAACGTATACACGTTTCAGTATGCTTTATTACTCGTCCTGTGCTGCTGTCATGTAGCATTGAGTATCGCTGCTTTTTTGTAAACTAAAAACGTCCAAAATGACACTCATACGCGGGGATTTACGAGAGCATGCTACTGATCCTGCAGTTGAAACACAAGTCCAGATGAATCAAGTGATAAGAAACTGCAATAGTAACAAAAAATTGATGTACAGCATAAATTAGCGAAAAATAATGGAAATTAGCTGCTATCATCATGCATGTAAAGTTCTCTTATTACAAACAAAAGATCATCAGTTCAATTTGCTCCCTAGTTGGGACTGTGGAACAGTGTTTTAGAGGGCGCCTAGCTCGATCCGCGCCTAGTGGGGGCCTAAAAATCAAGATTGATAACTTTATTTTTTGTCTATCTTCATTACCTACAAAATAAAACTATTTCAACTTATAATAAATCAACACATCTAAGTTCAAATAATAATATTAGAATATTATAAAGAAAACACGATAACAAAACAATGTAATTAATATTTAACAAAATTAAAAAAGATTAAAAAATTTCTGCCGAGCCTGCCTAGGAGCGCCTAGGTGGCGCGTAGGTCTGCCTAGGCGCCGCCAAGCCCACCAGACCGATTTTTTCAGTCGATTTATGCAAATCGGAGGCAGTAAAGCACCGCCTAGGTCGATTTTTAGAACAATGTTGTGGAGTTTGTTTGGGATTGTATAGGCAAAAGCTGCTTAGGGAAGGACTTCTTTTTCCCAAAGATATTATTATAAATCAAAAGCGCACAAATGTGCAAATACAAGCAGCCAACGTCTGAAAAGTGGGAGGACATGTCAGAAGACCGCCTAGAATCCCGTCTAGCAACGCTAGAATTAAAAACTCCCAACTAAACTAAACAACAACTCAAACAACTAAAACAACTAGAAAAGACCCGAACAGGGTAATATCCGAGTGTCGGATCCTAACATGATAATAAATTTGACATCCGAGCGCACAGAGGCCAAACGACCCAAACTAAAAAAAAAAAAAAAAAACACTATTTGTTGGCTTTTTAATGAAAATTTTATTTTATATTTTTGCCCATGAACGCATACTACCTTATCTCGAGCTTGCAGACACTGTCACTACCTTAGCTTATCCACAAGAACAATTATGTAACACTACTACGAGCACAAGCAAAATTGATTCAATCAATGTATCCTTTTTTTTTTTCTTTTTTCAAAACGATAGAATTTTATAGATAAAAACACGTATTTACAACGAACGAGTCCGGCTAATAGCAGCCCAAACCAACAGCCAATAGACCGAACCAAATGAGAGGACATCCCAAGAGGAGCCTACATACTACAGAGACGCAACCACAAGAAAAGAAAAAAAAAACCACACTACACTCCAACAAGTGGAGAAGGACACTCCCACAAGTGGAGAAAGAAACTCCCAAACGGGAGATACAAGCCCAACCTACAACACAGAAAACACAACACAAACCGACAACACCCAAAAACACACTAAAAACAACCCACAACAATCAATGTATCCTTATTGAGTGGTATTTTACCTTGTACCAAGACATCCTTGTACCCATCGCCATCACAGACAAATTGAGGAGGGATTTGAAGGACGCATACACACTATAGTGCTTCCACTGCATAACAGTGAAGTAAAAGTTAAACTAAATAACCTACAATAAATTTGGAAGAAAAATGAATAATTTTGAAGAACCTCATGTTTTACTGCATCGACTCATGTGAATATAATAAATTAAAGGCCTGATCTGGCTATCACAGAGATTCTCGTCAGCGGATGAAAATAGAAGTTTACTCATTAACGGCGGAGCTAGAAATTTTAATGAGTCAGCGCAAAAATTGTTTTAACCATATTGCACAAAGTACTTATATTAATAGTTAAAAAAATCGTTTGAGCGATCGAGAGTTGAAGGCTTTCCTATTCAATTTGTATTTGACTAGATGCTAAGAAATGAAATTTGTATGATGTTTGATTATTTTATTTTGCCTTTCTATTATTATTAAGAAATATACCAAACATATTTTACAATTTTTTTCCTTTTTTTTGTAGTAAGTTATTAACAAGTCGTTTTGAAATATAATTTATTAATTTCAGAAAGGCCTAAATGTCATCATTTTTGTTCATGTTATTTTATAAAGAGTTCCTTATTGAATTATCTTCTTATATATAAATGTAGAATTTTTCACTGTTAACTTCCACCCCTTTGTAATTCTATATGCTAATATCGATTCGAAATAATCCATATAAATATTGATCTTTATCCAAAACTTTCAAATTTAAACACTTCACTCACTTAAATGGTAAATATACTTTAAAATTTAATAACACTCATATATGTTATCATTTTTTATATATGATAATTAAAAATAGTCATATTTTGACAATTTATAATGACATTCATATTGATTCATATTGTATATATAAATTAAAATAATTATGTCTATTTCATCTCTATCACTGAAAAATTAATATTTATCAATTATAATTGAAAAAATAATAGATTTATCTATCAAAATTTATTATATGGTCTAAGCACTAAAAATATTGTAATATAATCTTGTCATATTGACAACTGAGGTGTATCATTTTAAATTAAAATAATATGTTATTTGGTAAGAATTGTTTAAAATTTTAAAATAAAAACTTGTATTTATAAATTTATAAATATTACATATAAATTCTCAACTAACACATATTAACTATATGAATTTTATAGTTAGCACAAAAAATCTAGCCTAGGCAATTGGCTAGGCTGGATCATATGTAGATCCTCATAATATAAATTTAAGGATGTTTTGATCAGTTAAAAAAAATATGTCATGATTGTTTCAAGAAGGTGCTGATAGGAAGTACTTGCTGATGTCTAGGCACCACAGCTCTACAAGCAAAAGATAAGAGGAAAAAAATGAGAGAAAAGAAGAAGGGTAATGCTAGGGATAAGTTCCTAGAAAATCCCTAGACTCCATTTTAAGTTCTCTTTGAGTCCCATATTTTTTTTACACTTCACTTCCTATCCCCTTATTTTTTTTTCTTCTTAACTCCTTATTGTTAAAATAAATTAAAAATAAAATAAGTTATGATATCATCCTACTACACCATAAATTTACATATTATTTTATTATTTCTCTCTCTCTCTCTACTATTAACTTTTCTAATTTTTTTATTATTTTCTTTCTTTCTTTTCCTTACATTTTTTTTTATTTTCTTTTTATCATGTTTTACTATTTATTTCTCATACTACTAATTAATCTTAATTTTTTATGAATTAATATAAATTTATTTTTTGTATAAACTATCCAAATAAAAAAATTATATTTTACTAATCGTTATTTCATATAAATGTACATTATACTATCTATAAATGTATATTTATGTCGTTCCAATTTATCAACTAATTTTTTAAAATTAAATTATAATTTTATTAAAAAATCTATCTATCAAGAGGATATATATCAACTAGCACGATACCCGTGTACTATACGGTTACGTAAATATATTAATATTTTTACAATAGAAAAACAGAAATAATTTATTTTTATATTGTAAAATTATGTCTAATGAATATATAAAAATTATGAATAACTAAAAAATTAATAATTAATTCAAAATAGGGTCCGTATTTTTGCGCTTGATTTTCTTATTTTATTTAAAATATATGATAAAACGCATTAAAATGATTATTTTATGGTGTGTTAATGAATTAGATTTTTGTTATATTTGTTATAAAATCATTTATGTCGTATGCATATTGTTGAAATTATTTTTTAATAAATATAATTTTATTTCTAATTATTTATGTAATTATTTTTTATTTTATATATGCAATATAGATGTCAGATCGAAGATCATTAAAATATGATTATGTTGATATATAACATACGAAAAAAAAATAAAAAAAAATATAAATATTTAAAAATAAAAAGAATACATATTTATTATAATAATTATTATATGAATTAAATAAGAAAGAGTAAGAGTAGTATATGGTAACTTGAGAAAAAAAAATAATTTATGGTATTTCTCAAGCCTAAAACTGAACATGTACACGTGTCAAATTATATCAACTAAACCTCTATGAGCCTGCCAGTTAGGCTCAGAGCATTTGGAAATTATATATATGAGCGATTTATAAAATTATCATTAATATCTTAAGAAAAGTTAGTTATTATAGGAATATGCTAAAAATTGAGAATTATATCACCTTGA